GGACGCGAGTGGTGCTGTGGTCTAAACCACTGAGCCTCTTGGGCTTGCCAGTCAGAAGGTCTGCGGTTCGAATCCCCACGACGGGGTGAGCTCCCATTGCTCGGTCCCAGCTTCTGCCAACCTAGCAGTTCAAAAGCACACCAAAAAGTGCAAATAGATAAATAGGTACCGCTCTGGCGGGAAGGTAAACGGCGTCTCCGTGTGCTGCTCTGGTTTCGGTGTTCCAAAAGTGGTTTAGTCATGCTGGCCACATGACCTGGAAAAACTGTCTGCAGACAAATGCCGGCTCCCTCGGCCAGTAAAGCGAGATGAGCACACAACCCCGGAGTCGTCTGTGACTAGACTTAACCATTGGGGTCCTTTACAGGAGGTTAAACAGGGTCAGAATGGCTGCTGAAAGCTCCTTAACATCTGGTGGCCACAGGTGCTGACATCTATTGGTTGGGAGGTTTCTGGTGGCTCAGGGTTAAGAGAGGGCTGGAAAATGTGACTCATGCTTCTTCTTCGCTTGTGGCAGAAGGCAAAGGATATTGTAGGTGTCTTGTGTTATTTTGTTCCAATTACTTACTGAAACTCCTTTGGTATGCAGGGTATGGCTGTATTAAGGGAGTGAATATTGGTTAGAGGGCAGACTTTTACCTTTTCCAATAACACCCACAGATACTTGTAGGTAAGAAAATGACACAAGCAGTTTATTGAAGGAAATCTATGCTTGGACAGACAATTTCCTTGTTCTTGTCTAATTAACAGGTCTATAGTAGAACAAGGCAGCCATGCTTGCTCTTTTGTTCTCTCAGATGACAGCTGTCATCTTGAGGTCTGAGAGAGAAGTGTGAGGGGTAGCAGGAAGTTGTAAAGTGAAGTGCTACCTGATATATCAGTCTAACAAGAGAGAGAGAGAGAGAGAGAGAGAGAGAGAGAGAGAGGCACGCTGGTAGGCAGTAAGGATACTGGAAGTCCCTGACTCTGTTTTACTTCCAGGTGAAACCCCTCTTCTGCAAGCTGAGTTGCACCCAAACGTCCAACACAGTTGAGGAGATGGACCAGTGTCCCAGTTATCTCCAGGAAACAGATTCTGCTTCCCTGCTTGGAGAACCAAAAGGCCAACCTACCAGACTCTAGAGACCAGAGGGAGCACTCCAGATGTTGTTAGACTACAATCATCCCCAACCATTGGCTTACACTGGCTGGGACTGATGGGAACTAGAACCCAACCCACTTCAGCTAATAGCCATGCTTCCTGCTGCAAAGTAAATCACACATGTTGTTGGTGTGAATTTACCTCTGGACTAACATTAGCAAAATCCATGTAAGTATAACCTGTTTTGTTTCTTTTGGGAGGAGTGGTCACTGGAGAGGAAAACATCATTTACCATTACCACTGGCTAAATTATGGTGCATGTTCACAGCAGTGCAAATAAAGCTTCATAAAGTCAAATGCTGCTTAGATCCATGCCATTGGTTCTGCCTTTCTCTCTCCTTAAAAAAAATAAAAAAAAATGGAGGGGGAGGAATGAACCCACAACAACCAAAACCCCTGAACTATGAGTAGCATTGCTGGAGGGCAGAATGTAAACAGAACTGATGTTTGGATGCAGGGCAAGGTAATAAAAGGTGCTGTCAATTGCTTTCAACAGGCACAAGAGATTTATCCTCTTCATGGTGTTAGAAAACTGTGGCAGGGATATTACTGCAGAAATTTTCACTACATGCCGTCTTAGGCCTGTTGGGTTCTGCAGAAGAAAAGAGAGCTGAAATCAAACCAACCTGGGTGGGCATCCGACGTTATCGATTCCCCAAACAAAATAAAACACGAAAGTGCTTTTTTCATTGCGTCCTCAGATGGAATGTCTGTGCAAATGGCAACCGCCATCTCCATTTCCCTGAGTGCATCTCTCTGCTCCTGTTGTGGAAAAGCAATATGTTCAGCATGGAGGGCCTCAATGCACGAGTAACAGAAGCTAGTAGCTCGCAGCTAAATTTGTACAGGCCTGCCACATGAACTGGATGAACATGATGGAAAGCAGATCATAACTGACAGAAGTGTGATTATCCAGGCCAGCCTGAGGTTGCTTGTTTGTTTGCTTTGCTGCCCTGGGTGAAATGAAATCCCACTGCCTCCCCGCCGGGTGCTGGATTGCATAGCAAGCAGTTTAAGAATAGCCGAAAAAGTGATCAAGAGTAGATTGGGATATTGTTTTCTCATTCATTTTTTTAAAAAAACGTGTCACTTTCCTGCTTCTTCCCTTTTTACAACAAGAATGCTGTAGCAGCAGATTTTCCTGGGTCACAGTGGTGGGGAACATTTTTCACCCTGAGGGCCACATTGCTTTCTGGCAAGTCTTCCAAGGGCCACATGTCAGTGGTGAGCAGGGCCAGAGGGTGGAGCAATGCATGTGAACATTACCTTTGCACAGTAATTTGCCTCCCTCCAGACAAGCAAGAGGCATTATCAGAGTTCAAGGACATATTCCAGACAGGCAAAAACACTGGGATTCTATGCCCTGGGTGGCCGAGCCACAGGTTGAGCCAACTCATCCTGTGCTCATCCTCCTACGAGAGACAATGCTCAGACGAAGGAGGAGGAAGCTGGCAGGCAGTGCCAACCCCTAAATTCCTTGTAAGTAAGGTCTTTGGGGACGCGGGTGGCGCTGTGGGTAAAACCTCAGTGTCTAGGAGTTGCCGATCGCATGGTCGGCGGTTCGAATCCCCATGGCGGGGTGAGCTCCCGTCTTTCGGTCCCAGCTCCTGCCCACCTAGCAGTTCGAAAGCACCCCCAAGTGCAAGTAGATAAATAGGTACCGCCTTATAGCGGGAAGGTAAACGGCGTTTCCGTGTGCTGTGCTGGTGTTGGCTCGCCAGAGCAGCTTCGTCACGCTTGCCACGTGACCCGGAAGTGTCTCCGGACAGCGCTGGCCCCCGGCCTCTTAAGTGAGATGGGTGCACAACCCTAGAGTCGGACATGACTGGCCCGTACGGGCAGGGGTACCTTAACTTTTACCTTTAAGGTCTTTGTAAGTAAGGGGGCAGGCATGTGGGGGCTGGTGGGGCAGTGCCCCATTTGCTCTAATGGCCCAGCCTCCTCTGCAGGCAGTGACTTTTTTTTAACAAGGCATAGGGTGTGCATGTGTATGTGTGCATTTGCCAGGGACTTCCTCTCCCCGCAAAGAAAGGAAAACTGCATCCTCGTTAGTCTTTAACTGGAATGGCAACAATTAGCGTTAATTGGTTAATGGGCTGTGAGGGGATCTTTTCTAGCACCTGTTTACTCCAGGTACTGGAGGCATTTAAAGAAGATTAGATGATTAACAGTGGGATGCAAGCAAGTGATCATGACAGGTTAGGATGGTGATGAAATGTAGACCGTACCAAATCTGTGGGATGTGCAAGCATCCCAAAGCCTGATCCTTAGGTGGGAATGTATCTAAGTGTGTCTAAGTCTACAAACGCGTCTGGCAGGAGTGGGGAAGCTCTGGCCCAGTGCAGCCCCCACACTTCTTTGGAGCTCTCAGAAAGCCACACCCCACATTGACCCTACTCAGGTGTTATTGTCTGGCTGAAATGTGTCCTTGAGATCTGATAATGTCTGCACATAGGAGTTGTAGTGCAACCACATCTGGAAGATACCATCTTGACTTACCTTGGACCAGATGAATTAGTTTTGTGCACAGTGAGTAATTAATGAATGGAATTTGCGGCCAGGGGATGTGCTGATGGTAACTACCTTTGATAGCTTTATTAGCAAACCCCAGGTATATCAAGAAATATCTAAAACAATTAAATCACCTGTACAGGCTTCCCCACAACTGTCGTCACTGAATATGAGGACTGATAACTTCAAAGCTTGCTTGCTGCAGCTTGGATTTCAATAGTCCAGCAATGGAAAACTTTGAAACATCTGCATTTGCATTTGTGGTATAAAAACTCATGGGCATGCATTTCAGTACCTCTTGAGATATCATTGGCAAATTTGGCACAACAGTGCCTGAGATGGAGGAGCCAGTTTTTGTCTATGTTCAGATGTTGTTGGTTGCCATCTTGGACCAAGATGGTGGATTAAACCAGGCATGGGCAAACTCAGCCCTCCAGATGTTTTGGGACTACAACTCCCACCCTGACCACTGGTCCTGTTAACTAGGGATGATGGGAGTTGTAGTCCCAAAACATATGGAGGGCCGAATTTGCCTATGCCTGGATTAAACCATTGCAAACTGTGTCAATTCGTATGCCTAATTGTTGCCTAGTTTAGAATAATAGAATTGTAGAGTTGGAAGGGATCTTGAGGGTCATCTACAGTGGTCCAACTCCCTGCAATGCAGGAATCTCAGCTAAAGTATCCATGATATATGGACATCCAACCTCTGCTTAAAAATCTCCAAGGAAGGAGAGTGGTGGCTACCAAGATGGAGGATTTGGTTTTGCCCTATGCTTGGAAAACGTCTAATGCATTTTTAAATTAAGATGGTGGACCAAACTGTTCCAAACTGTGCTAATTTGGACACCTCTGAAGATATTGTCACCAAATTTGGCATAGTGGCTCCTGAGATTGAGCAGGAGGTTTTTGTCTCTGTCTGGAAGTCTGGAGGGGCATGAAGAGCCCTAGAAAGTAACAAATTGCAATATCCATGTATAAATACCAGTATCTTTCCATTTCTAAGAATTCCAGAGCAATGCTTTCAGCTCATAAGGACATAATCTGCCCATTTGGTTGGTTGCGTGGGCAATTATCTCATCTCTAGATGCCCTGATCCTGGGCTGTAGCATTTGCATAAGCAGTGGGACTTTGGCTTATATTACACAGAGAAGTGTTATCCTTTCTCAGTTAATAATCAGCCGTGCACTCTGTTTGGCGTGGAAGCACTTCAGCATAATTAGCTGGTTAAAGAAGCCTGCCTATTGATTAACAGAACTAAATGACCTGTAATTAACAGCATGACTATAGTGCTAATCTGGTTTTGGATTTTTTTTATTTTTTTAGATACAGTATTATTTTCTCCTTCTCTCCAAAGGATCTAGAAACTGCCAGGTCTTTTCATCTGGAGGGAGCAGGTAGATGAAGGAGCCACTTCATGCTGTAATAGCTTTCAGCTATGGAGCTTTTTCAGAAGTGCATTGATGTAGCATAAAAAGGCCCTGCTGGGGTGTTGTTTTAATCTCTAGGCCTGCCAAGTTGCATCTGCAAAGTCTGCACAGGCTTCCTCCCACCCCCACCCCCTTTAAAAGTAATGGTGTTGCAGTGAGCCAGAACATTTGCTCTGAACCGTTCTAAGATATCTTGGGAATCCAGCTTCAGATCTTGACGTTGGGTTCAGAATGAGTTTTTTTGTTGTTGTTGCTTGCAGCATGTTTGATGGCCAGTAGGTGTCTCTGTGGGCACTGAACAAAGAGCCAGCAGGGGTGTGATGAAAGGCTTCTGGAAGAAGTCACAAAGAATTAGAACGTTGACTGCTTAGACCCACAGAGACAGGAAAAGGACGAGCCACATGTCAGACCAGTAGGGCAGGTTGCTCACAAATTGCACACTGCCATATATAGGCCAAAGGGGCAGAAGACCCTATAGTAGCAGGGATGGGGAACTCGTGGTCCTCCAAATGTGGTGGAGCTCCAACCCTCATAAATCCCAACCAGCATGCCCTGTGGCCAGGAAACCTGCAGGCACCAGGGTAGACCTCTGTGAGTACATGGGTGCCCATGGGCGCCACAGTGGAGAATGCTGACCTATAACTTCCTTTCATAATCTTCTCCCCACAAGCATCAACATAAAAAAGGTAAAGGACCCCTAACAGTTAAGTAAGCCCAGTCGTGAACGATTCTGGGGTTGCGGCACTCTTCTCGCTTTATTGGCCGAGGGAGCCGACGTTTGTCCACAGACAGTTTTCCCGGGTCATGTGGCCAGCATGACTAAGCCGCTTCTGGCGAAACCAGAGCAGTGCATGGAAACACTGTTTACCTTCCCGCCCGAGTGGTACCTATTTATCTACTTGCACTTTGATGTCCTTTCATCTGCTAGGTTGGCAGGAGCTGGGACGGAGCAACGGGAGCTCAGCCTATCGCGGGGATTCGAACCGCCGACCTTCTGATCGGCAAGCCTGGGTGTAATTTCTCACCTTCATCTCAACACCCCGGCACAACCCTTCCTTACCTTCCTCTCCTCCTTGGGGAAGGCTCATAGCTCATTGGTAGAGCATCTACCTTGCATGCCGAACAGGGGTGCCATCTCGCCCTCAGAACTGTGGGTGCCCGCCACCACAATGCGGGTGTGTGACGTCAGATGCACACGCCAGCACGTAGTGTGTGTGACATCACACATACTACATACAGGCATGTGTGTGTGACATCACATGTCTGTGTTGCAGCGGCGGCAGCTCCTCTTCCTCCTTCTCTTGCTTTTCTGCAGAGAGCAGCTCGGACTCGGAGGCAGAGAGACTTTGCCTCTGTGTCTGGGTCCCATCCCCTCGAAAAGGGGGTGCCTCGCTGGCTGGCTGGGGAGGGTGGAGCTGAACTGCTTCTCTCTTGGAGGCAGCGCCGCTGCCACCTGCTGGCTTTTCTCGTTGACTTTGTGGGTGCCCAGCCCCCACATTTATATTACTGTGGGTGCCCAAGAACCCATGGTTCTCTGGATTTGGTTCCTGTGAGGCAGAAGCTCCCATGTTCAATCCCCAATGGCATCTTCAGGCAGGGCTCAGAGAGAGACTCCCTGTCTGAAACGCTGAAGGGTTGCTGCCAGTCTGTGTAGATGATACTGATCTAGATAGACCAATCGTCTGACTTGGCAAAAGGCCCCTGTCCCACTTCTCCCACTGTCCAAACTTAAATGGCAAGTTCCTTGAGAGCCAAGCCCTTTTGCTTAGGCAAATGGTGCAGACAGGCTATCCAGCTATTCCAATCTAAAAAATGCTAATTGCACTCCTGGGGAAAGAGGAGGCTGTTTCCCCTGTTCTTCGCTTTTTCGTAGCAAAGCACACTTCGACTGCTCCTTTTACCTGCACTGTGTGAAGTCACAGCGGAGGTCTGTAGCTCCCCCCAGTCTGCCCTTTAAAGCATAAAGAGGCAGCTCGCAGGCCAGAGTGGCTCCTTACTGCAGCGGGAGCAAGAGTTGAAAGCCGCATGAAATCTCACAGTGGCTTGCCAAAGGGCTCCTCTCCCTTGCCGGTTCACACTGATGTGTGATGGCACTCTGCAGGCTGCAAGCGGAGGACACAGAGAGTCGAAAACAGGTTATTGCATGGAAGCTTGTATACGAGGGAGAAAGAGAAATGCCCTTGGCAAGAGATGGGACCTGTTCTTCCTTTGCTTTGAAGAGTGGCCATTTGCCCCCATATACAGTGGACGCTTGGGTTGCGAATGTGATCTGTGCGAGATGCACGTTTGCAACCCACGCGTGCGCAGACGCGGGTTGCGAATGCTGTGGGTTGTGAACGTGTATCCCGCACGGATCACATTCGCAACCCGCACCTGCGCACGCGCGGTTTGCGATTTGGCACTTCTGCACATGCACAAAGCGCAATCTAGCCCTTCTGCTCATGCACGACCGCCGAAACCTGGAAGTAACCCGTTTCAGTACTTCCGGGTTTCGGCGGTCTGTAACCTGAAAAAACGCAACCTGAAGTGTCTGTAACCCGATGTATGACTGTATTGGTGGGCTCTGGAATTCAATGGTGGGTTTAGATGTCAGATGTCAGAATCAGGTTTGGAGAAGGGGAGTAGTTCAGCGGTAAATCATCTCCTTTGCTTGCAGATGGGCCACTGGCTCTTCTTATGTTCTTAGAATATTCTGTATGAGGAGAGGAGATAGCAAAGAAAGTTAAGTATTTGTTAATGCAACAGCGGCCACAAGAATAGTTTATGTGCAAAGAACTGGAAAGAAAAGGCTACCCCAACCAAGGAGCAGTGGTTGCATAAATTAATAGAATTTGTGGAGCTTTGTGAGCATGATGGCCAAAATAAGAAACTGGGATGAAATTAAAACAAGATGCGAGTGGGATTGTCTTGGAGAATGCTTAGAAAGAGATGGCATTATGGTAAATTTGCAAGTGGGGATAAACCTGTGGTCAGCAGTAGACAAGATAAGTGAATTGAAGGGATGAAAAAGGATGGAAGAACCAAGGAGATGTAGAGAACCAAAGAAAGGGAAATAGGATGTCGGTGAAGGATAGGTTGGGAAGTCGATATAGGAGTATGAGACGAAGAAGAAGAAGAAGAAGAAGAAGAAGAAGAAGAAGAAAAAGAGGAGTTTGGATTTGATAACCCACTTTATCACTACCCTAAGGATTCTCAAAGCGGCTAACATTCTCCTTTCCCTTCCTCCCCCACAACCAACACACTGTGAGGTAAGTGAGGCTGAGAGACTTCAGAGAAGTGTGACTAGCCCAAGGTCACCCAACAGCTGCATGTGGAGGAGCAGGGAAGCGAACCCGGTTCACCAGATTATGAGTCCACCACTCTTAACCACTCTTAATCACACTGGCTCTTGTGTGTTAAATGCATGTAAACTGTAAACTGGAACATGCATGCATGCATGCATGCATGAATGAATGAATAAATAAATAGGAATATGCTGTATGGAACACATATCTCCAATTTTGTGAGAACCTGATTGGCTCTTGTTTAGTTTCCAGGCTGTTTTTGATTTTTATAACTCTTCAGCTGGAGTTGCAGAAGCTGCAGTCCTCAAGATGTTGCTGGACTACAGCTCCTCATCATCCCTGACTACTGACTATGCTAGCTGGGGCTAATGGGAGATCAACTCCATCGGGGGTGGGGGCACAGGTTCCCTGTCTCTGACCTCAGTGGACTAGGGCCACAGTAGCTGAAAGGCCACCAACTCCCATATGAACGGGCCACTACCTTTCATATGGCCATATTTACTCTACTGATCTTGAGAGGCTACATTCTGTATGCCTCCACCCTTTATTACAAGAGGCAGGCCCTTCTTCAGGGTAGCACCTACTGTAGATTATGGAACTCCTTTGTGGATGGCCCATAGTTCAGTGGTTAAACATCTGCCTTGCATGCAGAAGGTCTCTGGTTCAATCCCTGGCATCTCCAGATACGGCTAGGAAAGAACTCTGCCTTGCACTCTGGAGAGGTGCTGCCAGTAAGTGTGGACAACATTGAACTAGATGGAGCTTCCTATATTTCTGTCTTCTTGCAGGAGGCTCAGCTGGATCCTTCACAACTGGGGTTTAACAGCAAGGTAAAACCTTGATTTTCTGGATACTATATGATAATGTACTTGCTGCTGTCATGTAATTGGCTGCATTATTGTTTTTATTATGCTTTTACATGTGCAGTGGTACCTTGGGTTAAGAACTTAATTCGTTCTGGAGGTCCATTCTTAACCTGAAACTGTTCTTAACCTGAGGTACCACTTTAGCTAATGGGGCCTCCTGCTGCCACAGCACCGCCACCATGCAATTTCTGTTCTCATCTTGAAGCAAAGTTCTTAACCCAAGGTACTATTTCTGGGTTAGCAGAGTCTGTAACCTGAAGTATCTGTAATCTGAAGCGTCTGTAACGCAAGGTACCACTGTATTTGGTTGGGCCCTGTTGTTACTGAATCTCTGTTTCTACTTACTACTACAGTGGTGCCTTGGTTTACGAACTTAATTCTTTCTGGAGGTCCGTTCTTAACCTGAAACTGTTCTTAACCTGAGGTACCACTTTAGCTAATGGGGCCTCCCACTGCTGCCGCGCCGCCAGCGTGCGATTTCTGTTCTCATCCTGAAGCAAAGTTCTTAACCCGAGAGACTATTTCTGCATTAGCGGGGTCTGTAACCTAAAGCGTCTGTAACCTGAAGCATCTGTAACCCGAGGTACCACTGTATTTTTTATTTTGATCTGCAGCAATGAGCCAGTGATCCTGCTTAGCTCTGTGCCTATGAAAAACTTCACTCACTGATTTTGGCAGATCTGCATGTTTAAAGGCATTAGACTAGTGCCTGTTTTATTTTATTTTCTTTCTAGCCAGATGATAATCCTAGATCCAAACCCCTAGATTTGCTAACCGTGATTATGGACAGCTCTCTCTTTCCAGAGATGTTCTGCAAGCGGAAACACTGCTAATGAATTCTTAAGAGATATTTCTTATGAAGCACATTATAACATGCAGATAATCTGAAGAGAGTCTGTGCTTGCATAATATAGATTTAATAGATATAACAAGACAATTAAAACCTCATTAGGCTTGACCTCGCTTGGCTAGATGCACCAGGAAGTACCACTTTGTCTCTCTTTAATAGGCAGCCTGGTTCAGGAACAAACACATGAGTCAGGAAAGAGGATTCCAGCAGGTTTTAAATGCAGTCAAAAGTTGAAGGTCACACCCACACAATACATTTGAAGCATCTTTGAAGCCCGTGGCTCCCCACAAATAATTTTCAGAACTGTAGCTTATTAAGGGTGCTGTAAATTATAGCTCTGAGTTCCTGCGGCCCTAATTTAAGACGGGTACCAGTTGATCTGCGTCTCTGCTCAGTCTGCTGCCCAGGTACTAAATGCTGATGGGCAGTTTCAAGGCTCTTCCTGCTTTTCTCCTCTTAGTTTCCTTTATCTAATTGGACTTGGGACAAGACAACCCTTCAAGCAGAGGGATGCCCTGCTGTTATCTGTTAAAGTAGGACACATGGACCGCCTGACACCACACACACACACACACACTCATCACATTTATGCATTATGTCTTTCTTGCAGGTGACACTGCTGGAATGTGTGGCACTTCAGTTGGGAAATGTGTACGGGAGAGCTTTGGGGAGGCCGCCCTTGGCTTGGAAGCCAGGTCCAGTCATGCTTCTCCAAGCCAAATGCATCCGGCAGCCAGAATCCTTCTTCTCGCTGGCTCCTGTTCATAAAAGGAAAATTACTCCTCAGATTTATGAGTTACCTCCAGGTGTAATTTATCAACTGCTGCCTTGCCCTGGCCTAGACAACTGGGGAGAGGCCCAGTCTTTTGATTAATGGGCTCTCCTGCCTGGCGGTGGCAGACATTTTACAAAGATTTAATTCTAACACATCCTTAAAAATAACAGGAAGTCTGTTTGGAGGATTCGGCACTCACTGATTCCGTAAGGTGGTGGTGCAGGCCTACCAATCCTTTCGGGGGAAGGTTAACACCTGCCAGACTTCCCTCACTTCTGCTTTTTAATTCACCACATTTCGAAGGCGAACAGATGAAATCTTTGCTATGTCTATCAAAGGGCTTTTCCTCCTCAGATGTACAGTGGGTGAGTTAGAAAGCTCAGAACAGAAAAAAACAGGGCTTTTTCTAACAGCACACAGCTAAAGACTGTGGTGTCTAGTGTTCATTCGGGGCCAGTGGGGCAGAAAGCCAAGAGACCAAGAGGAGATGGGGTCAGACATCAGAACCAAAGGCAAAGCAGAGCCAACACATTCTCGTTTGGTTCCCACCTTCCTCCCTGTTGAGTTCTACAAGGGCAACACTGAGACTCAGGAGAAGGAAGCTGATTGGTTGAGAGTGGGCAGGGGCAGGGGTGGTGAGTGAAGGAGAATTGGTGGGGCAGTACCAGCTTTGCCATAATGGACCAGCCTCCACTGGTTAAACTATGGCATTAGCTGCTGTACGATGCCCATCTAGATTGCTTTAAAGGCAGTTCAGACCCAGGGTGGCCACATCTGCCTAAAATAAAAAAAAGAGGACACTGATTTGCATAACATCTGACTGTGTTGATTTATGTAGATGCAGGTTTAGAAATGATTACTCTCAGTTAAATCGAAACACCACAAATCTCACTGTAGTGGCAAAGGCTGTGAACAGTTAACTTGGGTGTAAGGAGGTTAGAGAATCCTGACAAATCTGGAGAGGATATTGGCAACGTTTGCATATTTGTGCCACGTGCAGAACACAAATCAATTCAGTGAAAGCAATCAGTATTCGCTGTGGTTGTTTTCAGTCAGCAAATGACAAGTAATTGACCACACCCATTTGCAGTGCGTTTCCTTTGCACTGATATGAATGGTGCAGAGCAATGTAATTAATTACATTATTAATTACGTAAAATTCCACCACAGTGGAATGAACAATGTGGTTTTCGTTGGAAGTTGAACTGCAATGGAACAGAAGCAACACTGCATGCGATTAACACGGTTTGCAATGGAAGTGGATGCCTTCCTACACTCTCTAATAATGTGCCTGCTCAGTCTACTGTCCAGGTATGTGCAATTTCATATTGTTCTTGATCTTTATGCTGGACTTTGCATGGACAGCCCCTGCACGCAGAGGATGCCTACGGATAGAGGACTGTCTGTTGACAGGCCCTTCCAATAGAAGGCTGCCCTACAGTATAGTAGGTTACATGGACACCCTCAGTCTCCCCCTTAGGAAACTTTGGGCTTAGATTTTGCTTCAGGGGGTAAGCGTCAATGACAGCAGTGCCTGAAGAGCTTCCCTACCAAAGCCACAGTTGAAAATTAACCCGAGAGGTAGCCGTTTGTAAACTGAGCTGACAGGAAATTGCTAGCTTTGTACCGAACAAGTCATTACCTTAAGCTTTATTGCTATGTGTGGGAGTTTACTTGTGACAAAGTAAACGTGCAGAGATGGCTTGTAACTAGGGACCAGGCAATTGCAGTGTTAACGGTTCCACGGAAAGCCGTCAATCGGCAGGATGCTGTGGAAAAAAACCATTAAAAACTACTTTTTATTTTATTATTTTTGGAAAACCCTCTCAGCTGAAATGATGGGAACTCCTCAACCAAGTAAATAACAGACTTGAGAACAGTGTGTCAGAAAAGAGCCAAGTGGATGTGATCAATAGATTGACTCCTTTTGGGGGGGGGCTTTATAGATCTGAATTATTTTTCTGCCTACTGAACCCACTTCTAACAGAGAGGGCAAGGCCCACGCGAAGAGTGGATTATGGGACCAGGATGAAATTGACAGACATGATCACAACAGCTCTTCTGTGAATGTTGATGGTGAATATATTTTCTGGGCTTACGGATGCCTGCTATACATTTGAATTAGTACTCCAATTCCAGTTTAGGGGTGGAGGGGAAAAAAATTCAATCCAGCTTGCATTTAAAGGCAAATACACTTGACTCACATAGGTTCCTCACTACTGAAATACATAAACATCAAGAACAATAATAAGCTTTGGTATTCCACCATTAATCTGAGGACCTTTAGAGGTTTTCCTGACATAAATAACTAAAGGAAACCCTGAGAGGCAGGTTGGGCTGAGCCATCTTCTGATACTCTGCATGCAGGAAACCATTAAGGCATGCAGAGGTGATCAAGAAAGGTTGGTGAGAGAATCCATCTTCCCACTACTATCCTCCTCCTCCTCCTCTGTGCATTGATAAGAACATAAGGAAAGCCCTGCTGGATGAGGCCAATGGCTCATCTAGTCCAACATCCTGTTTTCTCACAGTGACCAGCTACAGGTAGATGCCTGAGGGAAGTCTTCAAGGAGGACCTGAGTGCAACATTGCTCTCCCCACTTATATTAAAACCACTCTGAAAATCATCACTCAAACTACAGCTCCCAGAATTCTATGGGGAAATCCAGGATTATTTCAAGTTGCATCACAGTGCTTTAAATGCATGGTGGCCTGGATGTGGCTTAATGTATCATCATCATCATCCTATAGCAGCTCCTGATCTGCTTCCAGTTACCCGAAAGGAGAGTCCTCCTCATCTTACTAGGTGCTTGGTTTGAAAGAAGTGATTGATGCAAAATATCACTGCTGCTGCTTGCTCAAGTGTGTGGAACTGGGGAGCGTGTCCTAATTAGGAATGCGCTCGTGTCTATTAACTTGTATATCCATTCTAACAGCCTCGAAAGCTGCACAGGAAGAGCGTGGAGATGAAAGGAGGATTCCCTGCCTTCCCCTCTAAACCAGAATGGTATTGCAGTTTTGCAGTTGAGGCCTAACGCGGGAATGGAAAACAGGCTCAGGGGCCAGAAGCAGCCCCCCAGACCTCTCCCTCTGGCCCTTGGGACATGTCAGGTCACATGCTTTCTCTACAGGTGACACCCCTTCCTGGTCCTGATTCTTGTTTTCCTTGAGTGTTTCTCCCTGGCTGAAATGTGTCCTTGAACTCTGATAATGCCTCTTGCTTGCCCGGATTGAGGATATCTCATAGAATCACATCATCTAGTCTAAGCCCCTGCAGTGCAGGAATATGCAGTTGTCCCATTCAGGGATTGAACCTGCAACCTTGGCACTGTCAGCACTACGCTCTAACCAACTGAGCTATCCAGCCAATGGGTCTATAATAAAGAGGGGGATGGGGATATGTGTAGAAACCAGCCTACTACACACAATAAAAATTTACATTCTGCCTGCTTTTGCATCTGACCCCTCCTACCACTCCTAATACGGCCCCCAGGCTAGAAAAGGTTCCTAAACTCTGGTCTTACCAGATCCTCTGGCACATTTTTTTTTGCTTCACTTCTCAGACAAAGGGCACACAAGTTCTTTATGTTCTTCATGCTCCGCTTTACAACTTCAGAATCTCTCACCGCTTTCTTCCCTTCTCTACGCGGAACAACCGCTCCATTTCTTTGATGGGATCTGCATCGTTCTCTGTACTCTGTTGTGGTTTTTTTTGCCAAAATACGAGCTGCTGTTGTTCAACATGTTTTGTGAGCCTTCTTCTGGCTCCTGCAGGCTAAAGGTCAGGCAGGGAATGAAAGGGACCCCTTGTGTGAGGTTACAGGAAGGGCAGACAGAAAGAATTTCACAGCCATCAGTTGTGAATGTCTGCCTCTTAGCACTTCGTGCAAGTGAGCCACTGACTGCTTAGGAAGTAAAAATAAACCTGACATCATTTCAAGGTTTTTCTTCTTAGAAGGGTCAGGTTCTTGGTCAGTGGAACTTGAGAAGGATAGCTTCCCAGTTGTTTTGATTTCCTTCTAGACAACCTGGCAGGGCTCAAGTGCCAGTGTTGGCAGGGTCAGAGGCAAGAGTGGGAGGAGGAATGAATGTAAATTTCACCTCTAGTTTCTACACACACTCACACGTTAGAAGAAATTTGCACTAAAATGCTGGTGAATTTTCATGGGAACCTTTTTTTAAAAAAAAAAAAATCACAGACATGAAGCAATGTGGAAAAGTGAACTTAAAAGTGTAAAAATGAGAAACTGAAACCAGCAGATTCATTAGAGCTATTTAACAGTGAAACGGGCTACCTTGGAAGGTGATGGATTAGCCTTCCTTGGAGGTTTTTAAACAGAGGTTGGATGGTCACCTGCCAGATATTCTTTAGCTGTGATGGTTGCAGGGGGTTGGATGAGATGACCCATGGGTCCAGTCCAACTCTGCAATTCTATAATTCTATGCTTTATTCATCCCTACTGGTAAATAAAGAAATTTGTACAGGGAAGTCTCTGACAGTCTCTTCTCCGAAGAACATTGTGTTTGCAAAGATGACCATACATTCCCTGGCACTCCAGGAAGGGGGGATGAACTTGAAATCTTTTATGTATGCAGAGATTCTTCTTCTAGCATTTCCCCAATACAATTAGACCCATGATGTCACTTTGCCACCTCCCTTTAGCTTCTGCTATGCTTACTCCAGGTATTATTCTGCCCGAGTGTCATAAGCATTAGCTGTTTCCCCAGATCTGAATGTCAACAAGTCAGATTAAACACCTTCCCAGGGTTATGTAAACCCCCCTCTGGTCTTCCGGCACATACACTCTTTTTCTCTCTCATGCCAAGGTGCATATCTCCTTGCTCACTTACAAGAAACAACAACAGCCACCCAAACCGCAGAATACCTACTTATTCTTGCGGCCAAGTGTTCATGGAAAACTTTTGCAAATGTGGTAAGAAAGACATTTCTTTCCCGCAGGCCTCCTGTTAGATGATGCTTCTCTTTTCTTTGTTCCATTTTGCAAGCTGGATAGCCCAGACTAAAAGAAAGAAAGAGAGGAATCAGATTGTGCCTGGGTTGCCATAGGCTCGCTAGGATGGATCCAGTCTTAATCATGCATAGAGGAGACCCATGGGGATTTTAGATAGTAATTGATTTCAGAGGGCTGCACCCCACATTCTCTGCTAGTGCAAGGCATGATGGAATGTTGGGCAACAGAGGGATCCCATGCAACAATTGCACCAGGGGAAAACCATGGGGCAACGGATTGAGCAATCTGTTGTGTGGAAAGGTTACCAGCAGCCTGCTTCTGTGATCCCTTGTACCACAACGCTCCACTGCCACAAAGCATTTTGCTATCGAAACAATTATACCACTAAGTGACTCTTAACTTAGCACCACATTGGGTATAGAACCCATAGGGTTTGCTCTAAGCACCATTGATCCACTTTGCTAACAGAACTGGGTAGGTGTGTTTATCTAAAGGATTTTCATATAGATTTTCATTTGCAATAGAGAAATGCCAAAGTGGTTGCAGCTTCAATAGGAGGAGGAGGAGGAGGAGGAGGAGGAGGAGGAGGAGGAGGAGGAGAAACAGGAGGAGGAGGAGGCAGAGGGAGATTTAGGACAATGTGACCAGTTCCCTTGCACTGGGCACCAACTCTAGGGGGACGCCATAAGGCACCGCAACTATGTTGTAGTGCACATGGAGAATGGAAGTTTGGAGGTGCCAAATTTTGGCTTTGCACAGGGTGCTGCTGAAATTCGAAAGATGAAAGTCCACCATCAGCATATGATGGAAACTACATTATGAAGGTATGGGGATGGAATTCTGCAGCTTAGGGGCTGCAGAAGATGCTGTCTCCCAAGCCACTGCCTCAGAGGTTCTGAGGTTGGTGGAATTACCAAGAGGGACCAACCTCCATTGATTGTGACATCTGAGAGGGTCTGTTGGAAAGGAGATGGTCCTTCAGATGTTCAGGACCTTAAACACTAATGTGGGCACCTTGACTCAGCCCAGAAACAAACTGTCAACTATTGCTGCTGTCAGCTGTCAACCAAGCAGGGGTTATGTGACTTCTGAAATGGAGCCCCAGCCTATAATCCAAAAACAAAGCCCTGTGTTGCAATAAGAACCAATCGCAACAATACAAACACAACACGTAGTCTAATAGTTAGTAGGAAATATATAATAGAATAATGATATTGTTCAAATTATAGGACTAAGCCAATCAAAGTTCATATGTACAATATAACAGAGTGGTAGTGAGGACCGTCAAGCCGTGTGTTCAAAACAGATGTCTGAGGACAGTCTCACAATAGTTTTTCAAAAGTTTCAATGGAAGATATCTCAAAAGCCTGTCTCTGGAATGATACTACTGTTTCGTAATAGTCTTCATTAGCCAATATTTTTCAACAGAACACTAGTGAACACTGATCCTTAGCATGAATCTTTCTTACATATTTTGTTGAAAAATATATAGTGCTCCTGCTATGAAAAATGTATTGGAGCTGGGCTTCCCTACTTTTCTTCCTCCACCATGCCATTCCTGTGCTCTGGGGTTTGGGGTAAAATTCTGCAGTGGATTCTGCAGACTGCTCTTTCTCAGACTAAATGCCAGGATGGCTTGAAGTCTGTGGGATCCCTAAGGCAGAGTCCAACTGAGGCGCACATTTCCCATGCTTCAGAATTCCTGTCTGAAGTATCAGGGACATGAAACCCAAATATTTTTTGAAGCACCTGGATGGTGGACTGTCATAGTGCTGTAAGGCAAGAATGTCCAGAGTGAGAAATTAACTACTTATTGTCAAAAATACACTTTCAAGTTAGGGAAAGGCATGTCCATTAGTCCTACAGTATATTTCTCTGCTACTTCTAGGTGTGCACCCAATGAGGCAGTTAAGGCATCAGATAGGCCTTGCCCCTGACCTTGGCTTATTCATCTCCCCCATTTTAGCTGTCTACAAGCAGGCGCAGACCCCGCTTGCATGTAACCTGCTTCTGCTCCTCCTACTTCACTCCTGGTTCTGGGAGACAGTGGGGCAGGAGAGGTGGGGCCAGGAGGAGGAGGAGTGGAAGCCCTCGGCTCTGTGCCAGCATCAGCTATCTCTGCCTCTTTTTGTACCTGTTCTTCACTCTCCCATCCTGCAGCATCTCCTGCCTCTGACTCTCGTCTCCCAGCTATTACAGGCTCCTCCAGATCACTGATCCAGTGCCAGATTTACATATAAGCTAAACAAGCTATAGCTTAGGGCCCCACTCTCTTGGGGGCCCCCCAAAAAATTAAAGAAAAAACCCTGGATGTACATTTCCAAAATACAAGATAAAAACAAAAACAATAAAACCTACATACGGCAACAGTGTTTTGTGTTGTGTAGGCTCCTATTTGTTACGTGCCAATGGCTTTAGATACCTATTAAAGGTAAAGGGAGCATTAGGTCCAGTCACGGACGACTCTGGGGTTGCAGCGTTCATCTCGCTTTATTGGGCGTATAGCTTCCGGGTCATGTGGCCAGCATGACTGGCGAACCAGACCAGCGCATGGAAACACTGTTTAGCTTCCCGCTGATGTGGTACCTATTTATCTACTTGCACTTTGTGCTTTCGAACTGCTAGGTGGGCAGGAGCTGGGACCGAGCAACAGGAGCCCACCCTGTGGCGGGGATTTGAACCGCTGACCTTCTGATCGGCAAGTCCTAGGCTCTGTGGTTTAACCCACAGCGCCGCCCGCGTCCCTAGATACCTATTGTTGTTGTTGTTTAGTCGTGTCCGACTCTTCGTGACCCCATGGACCAGAACACGCCAGGCACTTCTGTCTTCCACTGCCTCCAGCAGTTTCCTCAAACTCATGCTGGTAGCTTCAAGAACACTATCCAACCATCTTATCCTCTGTCGTCCCCTTCTCCTTGTGCCCTCCATCTTTCCCAACATCAGGGTCTTTTCCAGGGAGTCTTCTCTTCTCATGAGGTGGCCAAAGTATTGAAGCCTCAGCTTCACGATCTGTCCTTCCAGTGAGCACTCAGGGCTGATTTCCTTCAGAATGCACTCAGGGCTGATTTCCTTAAGATACCTATTAGGTCCATAAATTACCATATAACATGTATTCAACACAAAAAACAGCGACAATTTGTTGTTGACAAAGGACAGCTAGACATATAAAGGCCCCATTATCTTCAGTAGCTTAGGGCCTCATCAAACCTAAATCCGGCCCTGTACTGATCCCTTCTTCCAAGTCAGCCTCCAACCCCCCTTTTCCCAGTGCCCACTCCTCAGCACCCAGCCACCAGTCCACAGTGTCCCGCCAGCCCCTGACATGGACCGAACCATGCAGTCAGTCGGGCCTTGAAAGCCGGGGAAGACTATAGCTCAGTGGTGGAACATCTGCTTTGCATGCAGAAGGCGCCAGGTTCAATCTTCCCTAGCACCTCCAGGTAGGGTTGGGAGTATCTTCTGCTACTGAAATCCTGGAGAGCCACTACCGGTCAGTGCAGACTGCAGATTCCGTATAAGGCAGCTTCCAGTGAAGGATGGGAGATCAGAGAGAGCCCATCAATCCCGTATTTCAGCAGCAGCGATTGTGAAGTGGCCACAATCTCTCTTATCTATTTGGATAAAGCACAGCTGGGACTCAAAGCTGTTGAATTAAGAACTACCTTTTGAGCAGCTGGGCTTCTATATCTGCCTGCCAGGCAGGATGAGATTCTGAGTGTTTGGATAAGTATCACAGCTGAATTTCTTTATCAGAGAAACTAAATTACTGAGAGGGGGGATGTGGGGTGGCTTGGCAATATGGATTTCTATATATCTGGAAATCAGGAAGAGAGGGGAGAAATGAAGGGACGTGTTTGAGGTGAAGAGGTGGGTGGGAATGAGATGTATAAATGGAAACCACAGTGGAGCTGGCAGATGAGGCTTGCTTCAGAATTATTTTGTCTATTTGCCTGAAGGTGGAGCCTGGCTTGTGGTTTGCTTCAGAGAGCGCCTTTTCCTCTTGGCAATTCAACCTGTTTTGCCCCTCTCTTCTCGCTATGTATCCCAGAGAGCTAAAATCACTTGGAAAATATATTTATTTCCCTAATTTACACTCCACACTTTCAGTTTTTTCACGTTCCCAGTTGGGCAGCAAACGAAGCACTCAGATGAGCTGGAATATTTAAAACAAAGGGAAAATCTATCACCTTTTCATTTTCTGCCCAACACTGGAAGGAAATTTGCAGTCATGGCCACTCCTTCTGAGTGGATGGGTTCTGCCAGAATTCAGAATTCAGCGGTTCTCTCACAAGGATGGACTTTACTTATATTGAGGTTTCTACAACAGGAATCATAGGGGGCAGAGATGGCAGTAGAAAAATAGGTAATTGGTAGAGGATGGGCTGTTGTCATTTTTTTCAGTCCTCAATTTTTTCAGTATGTTATTTATGACATCCCCCGTGCCCCCATTGAAATGAATGGTGTGGAATAACATAAATTCAGCCACAGCGAGTGGGGAATGATTCTTTTTTACTCCCCTTTGTTGGTCTTGCTGCAACATAGTTACCCCTCTGGAAAACGTTATGACAGATGTGATTTTCGCTGTCAAAAATTTGATTGTATGATCCTAGGGGCAGAACTATCCCATTTTGTTTGGGAAGATTTATAGTGATGGCGGTGTTGGTGGTATTATTACTGCTGTTAGAAAAATCACATGTGTTCTGCAAGCAACAGAACCTGAAAGCTGTGTAGGGCATCACTTTATTCTAGAAAGATTGTAGTGTAATTCAGTGCCAACTTCCATGCTACAAGTTGAGCCAAATGCTTTTATTGACCTGTTTCCCTTCATCCTGCTTGTATTAAAATCTGAGCAGCTGGCAAGGAAAACTCACCTGCTCCGACCTGAAAGTGCTGCCAAGGAGGAAGAAAAACATTTAGGAGGAAGTGAGTGAAGATGCCAGACAGCTTTAAAAGCTGGCACATCTGCCACGAGGAACAGACGCGAACATTTACAAGCGGTTCAGCTCCAATAAAGTCTTTATTGCTGTCAGTCTCATCCCAGAGTGTTACAGTTTTCCACGTTAAAAATGAACTCTCCTTCTCTTCCTTTCTCCAAACGTTGTAGACATACTGGAATCTTTGCCCCTGTGATCATGATGAAAACAGAATATATCTATACTGCTTTTGATACTGGCTGAGCTGATGCAATGAGTCAAAGTATTTGGTTGTTTAAGGAAATAAACAGTTAGTGGCTTAACTTTCTGGGAGGGAAGGGGAAGTTGTCAGTTTGGTTAGGATTCAAAACTACACATGGGATCGAGGGTTTTGACTGAGGGTTGAGATCACCCAGGACTTGCCAAGAGTAACGGGGAGCCAGTAACATGCCCAGTCTTTCATGCAATAACAGGATAAATATTATTCTGTTTTCTCATATTCTGTTTTTACAACATTTGTACTTGTTCACAATCAAACCAATTCCTGTCAACATGCATGAGTGGGAATAACTGCCAGGGCATGTGTGTTCCTGAAACTACAAAACCCATGATGCAGCATAAAGATGATCTATCTATCTATCCATCTAATCTATCATCTCTATTTATCATCTACCTTCACATATATTTGGTGCCTCTAATTGAAGGATGCAATTGACAATATTCCAAGTACAGCGGGGGAATCAGAAATGGCTGAATGTCAAAAGGGCACATGGATCTTTGAACAGTGATCCTCTTGCTCAGGTGGTAGAAAAACAGGTTGCAAAATAGAATTAGTTTTGTGAGTTTCATGCATGCTACTTGAGAGGCATATGCTCAAATGCAGTGCTCAATAACCACAGGATACAGTTATTATTAGGCAAAATACTTGCCTCTTGCATGCTTCCAAAGTTTGCTTAGTTCAGCCTGAAAGATCTTGATAAATATTAGGGACCTGCAGGCTTATGAAATGTACCACCTTACATCTTGGAGTTGCTGTTTCATGTGCGGAAGATGTGTTTTCACATCAATAAGCCCCTGTTTTGAACTAGAAGCGGACAAAGCTATTCTCCAGAGCTCCTGTAGGCATCGTTTGGAGGCAAAGAACTATATGAGCATGTAGGGCTTTGATCAGAAAGAAAAATCTTGCAACAGATTTTACCAGTCGTGTGTGCCACAGTTCAAAGGCTTCATAACGGAACGTGCCCTGAACAGAGATCTTTCTAGTCAAGCTTAACACGAATAGCAGAAAACTCCCAGGGTTAAAATATCTTCCCTCCTGCCTTCCTATTTGCAGGAACACTTGTATTGGTCCTACTGTCACTTTAAATATTCATCACAGGCCAGTGTTTAACAAGACTTCCATGCAGAAAAGGTGCAAACATGAGTCACACACTAAAGAGGTGCTGCCAGTGGGGATGGTAGGGGAAGAAATTTGATTCTGTTTGCATTTAAAGGTGAACCTACTAATTCACACTTTCTGAAGCAATAGGAGAACTGGAATACAGCTATCCTTTGAAATTCAATTCCCACATTTCCGACATTTTGCAATGGAGATTTTCCAGCCAAGTAATCTGTACATAAATGCATATATTGGGGGTAAAGTGTGCCTGTATTAGTGAAAGTATCATACTCAAAATGCATTATATTTAGGAACTGCTTTGCACTCCAGTAGCAAACTCTGGAACATCCTCTGGAGCCTCCAGCAGTTAATTTAAATCCATTCTCTACAACCATCAACAAACCTGAAACATTATGCCTCTGAATGCCAGTTTCTGGGAATTGCATGGAGACACAGTGCTATTGTGCCTCCCAGTGAAATCTGGGTGGTCACTGTGAGAACAGGATGCTGAATTAGATGGGTCATTGGCCTGATCCAGCAATGATCTTCTGATCATTCTCATCTGATCTTCTCTTTCCCCCCCATATATATTTTATTAATTTTCCAATATAAAATTATGCAAATAATACATCCAATTTATCACCAACATCAGCCTTTTGGACTTCCATCAGCACGTCTGATAATTCTCCGTCTTATTCACCTCTTTCACATTCCCTTATTAATATTACACAATAATAGTAACTTATTCTATCTTATTTTTTATGTAATATTCCTACCACTAATTTTCACAAAACTTCCTGAAAACTTACAAATGTTATCTGATCATTACATACATTTTTCATATAATCTGTAAATTTAGTCCAGTCTTCAGTGAATTTCTGGTCTCGCCGGTTCCGGATCCTTCCTGTCAATTTATCCAGTTCTGCGTATTCCGTTAATTTCATTCTCCATTCTTCAATCGTAGGTAGTTCTTCTTGTTTCCATTTCTGGGGCAATAATATTCTTGCTGCTCATTCTCATCTGATCTTCTCAAGGTCTTGTCTAGCCCTACAATTTCATCTCTCTTTACAGGTCGACTATTCATGTTTTTGTACACAAGAATGCCAGAATAGGAGTACGTCAGACATGAGAAAATCTTTTCCCATGGTCCCATTTCTAAGAATCACACCCACAAGCCAGACAACTAGGAATATCTATTTTGGTTCCTCTAAACTTCTCAGTTTAAGGCAGCTTCCTGTATTCCATTTGGGATGATATAAAAGTGAGAGTTGAGGTCTTCACCAGCAAAAAATCTCAACAACTAACAAACACTCCTCATAATTTGGGAGATGGGTGCTAAGCCCTCATCTTCCTGGGCCTTTAATGCCCCCAAATCAGATATTCCAGACACTTTTCTGTGTTCCTGGCTAACTTCTGCTATCAAAACAGAGAACTAACTGAGGAAAAAATAGCTAAAGCAACCAATTAGAGGACATCAGGTGCAATAGGGGAGAGACACTCCTCTTCTATGTGCTTATTTAATGGTAAGACCACCTGTTTTATATGTGAATGGGGTGAACACATGAATGACAACCCCATTATGCCTAGCTTAACCCTTCAGTTGTGTGGTTGTTTTCCAGTATTTTGGAGTCTGCTCAGCATTATTGATTTCTCTGGTTGCTGCTCCTTATTCCTGAATTAGTCGCATGGGTGATCCCTTCTAAACAGATGTGCGGGGGAGAAGACAATGCCAAAACGGCACATAGCCAATATGATTTCTCTACATGATGATGTCACTGAAAGCAGTTCCAGGCAAGGCTTATGAATCTCTTAATGGGGGGGGGGGGCATCAGAAAATGGAGCCATCATTTGGACCTGGAAAACATTTTTAAAATGCAGGGCTTTAAAGGGTTCCATTGTTTCCTTATGCTATTCCTTATGCTCATAGAGCATTTAAAAATGCAGAGCATGCTCTACCTCAAAAGAAAACTTAAAGAAAATGATGTACCGGTGGTATATTACCCTGGTCAAATTAGCAAAAATGTATAGAGTGAGCAATAAAGCCTGCTGGAAGTGTAAATTAAAGGATGGTGAATTTTCCACATGTGGTGGACATGCAAAAAAATTGAAAAAAATTGGGATATGATATGTAACAAAATGAAAAAAACT